ACTTTATAAATTTATAATAATTAATCATGGGTGTGTCACATGCAATGCCTATTTATCAGTACGTACCTACTCGAATTATTTGCATGACGTGTAAAGGAATTGCAGTTTTTGTTTTCTTCTTCTTCTTCTTTTTTCACCTTTTAAAATTATTTATTTTACATTTTCAGGTTACTTAAGAAATTAAAAATTGTATATACATATATATCATATTTGGTTTATTTTATCGTTATTTATATGTATATATATATATATATATATTTTTACTGGACTAGATTAATTTTTTTTAGACGGCATATCACAGTAATTTTATTATAATATGTTTTTACATATGATTTTTTTTTTGTAAAATATTATAATTATATGTAATTATTTAATTATATTAACTGTAAATGAGTAATTATTAAAGGACCTACGCCTGTACTACTACCGTATGAATTGAACAGAATTAAATTTATAAATTTTGGAAAAATAATGTGAAATAAAAAGAAACACAGAAAATTAGGAAAACACAAAAGTACACATGACCTCATCATACATACAAAAAACATACATACATATATACATATACATATATATATATATGCACATATACACGTTATACCATAATGGTTTAGGGGGGATTATGATGAAACGTGTTCGTACAATTTGTATTATTTAACGTGGTAGGGTTCATATGATCACGTACGTAAATTAGAGAGGAAAAAATAAAAAATTAAATTCAACCCAAGAGGAAAAGCAGGAAAAATATAAATCAAATTACAAGAATATTTTACATACATACATATATATATATATATACATACATACATAGAATATGGTCTTCACGTGTTACCCATGTCAGTGCATGTGATTCCAAACATACCACAGAATTACACGTGCCAACTTAGTGTATAAAAATTTTAAGATAATGGTTTTACGTATATAAATATAATAATTTAATTTTTTAAGAACACTGAGAACAAATATTATACGGAACGAAATTTTATGGCTGTCATATATTCAAAAACAAAAAAAAAAAAAAAAAAACCCTAACGAATTACCAGCTACCCAGTCAACTTTCAATTCCTAGGCAACGAATTAGTTTGATTAAAAATTTTAAAAATAAAAAATTATATATTTTGGAATTAATTAATTAATTAACTTATTAGAACTGCAACAATTCCAAGTTCTTCTATCAACCATTAGTATAGGCACGAAACAGACGATCATCAGCTAAATGTATATATATATATATATACATATACATATACACATACAGAGAGAGAGAGACGTATAAAGAACATTTAGCAAGGGTTATTTATAAACTAAATTCTTAATTAAAAAATTAAAGTGGAATGTATGAGCAACCGGTCATAATAATAATTAGTTTCGTTTGAAAATTCAGTTCATATTAATTTAATTTATATCTAGTTATTTATTATAATATATATATATTTTTATATATGTGCAGTTGAACTTTATTTACATATATAAATCAATTATATTTTAAAGTTGAAATTCTTAAATGAATTTTTAAATTTTAAATAATTTTTAGCATAAAAATTTGAACACGTATCTTTAAACTTTTACAGTGAAAAAACAAATTGGTTTAAATATTAAATAAATGTAACTTTTAATTTTTATTGAAAATAAGATTAGGTAAATTTTTTAAACTAATATAATTATTTCAACTAATAAAACTTAATTACTACATAATATATATATTTTTGTACATAAATATAATTAACTCGGTAAAAAATTATACATTTCAGTTTTCAGTGAAGTTCGAATTTATGATTTTTCAAATAAAATGAGAATTTTAACTATTATACCGTGAGATGTCCCACAATGTGCTTTGATTATTTAAAATTTCAAAAGCTTAAGATGGGTTTCTGTAGTCAGTACTTGTGGTGGAAACTGTTTTTCTAATTAAATTACAGAAGATTTATATATATATATATAAACAAGAAAATAAAGATATTTTGGTGGATAAGAAATTGCATCCGCACAATTTAAAGTAATTTGATGGAAGGAATTTGGCCGTCCATCTAAAGGGTCCCACTCTCACATTGGGCCATCGAGCTCATTCGAATCTGCATCTCGGCCCAATTAGGCTCACCATCTCAGAGTTAATTATCATATCTCTAAATGCAATATAATTCGTGCGTAACATTTTTATTATATAATTGACAGCTCAAGTTATAAATTTCATTTACCATATCTTATCTAAAAATTATAATTTACAATCTGATTCAAACTTACAAATTTTATTTTTTTATAAAATAAAAAATATATCAATCATTCGAATTAAATAGCACCGAATACCTAGGCAACACATACCCGAGATGCTTTTTAAGTTATTTGAAGCACTTCGAAGATTTCTATAAGTACCTTCCAACAAATACAAACATTCTCCAATTCTGGCATTGGAATTCTTTCTTTAAAAAACTTCAAATTTATACTTCCTAGAGTTACAACAGTTTTAATCATAATAAAACTATACATATACCCTACACAGTTCCAATAACAAACAGAAAAGGACAAGACAGTGGACAGAAAAAAGACAAAACGCAAACCTAGGATTCGTATCCTTCAATATAGATGATGATGACATGAATTATAAATCGATGGGAACTAAAGCTTTTTCTCCCGTGACCTTGTATGTATGCATATGGGTATATATATATATATATATATGTATATAAAAATGAAATTCAAAGTTATTGCTGTAATCTCCATTTCCAGGCAAAATACCAGAGGTCTGGGTATTATCAGTTTTGTTTTTATCGAAGCAGCCTAATACTGTTGGATACCTTTGAAGAAAGAACAACTGGTAAATGATTGTTCTCCAGGATGGTGTTTCTGGCATTGGACAACTGAATTGTGTATAAATGAGTTTTGCTTTTCTGTATAATGCCGCCATGTTGGGTCCATACTATGTTTCTTTGAAAGTGCATACGACCCCTCCAAGACGTTTGTCTCCGAGCAATCAGAACAATTTAATAATTCATTCTCATATCTCAAATCAACGACTAAGAACTTGTCTGTTTAATCCAAGGGTTCTAAGTTCAAAAAGCATGATAACCCTAAAGAATTGTAAAATCTTCCATCTGATAAAAAGTTTTTCCCACACCTTACCTAAGTGTGATTCTTTTTTTGAAAGTCTAACTCGGTATAACCTATGTACGAGACAGGAGCACATCTTATATGCTTACGAAACACGGTCCCTCGAAAGCACCATAAAATCTCCCAGCTGAAGAGACAATCACGTGAGTTTCTTTGCCCACTATCTGGCTTGATGAAGTCAAATCATAAGAGAAGAGCACCGTCATATATGTTCATGAGATTTCTCATATATATATATATATATATATACATGTGAGAAAAATACATATATATGCTCTGCATGCTTATGATGAAGTTTGGCTTTTCTATTTAACTCAGAAATGATTCAAAAATTAGACAAATTGAAGATTTCATCAAACTCCTAAAAGGGACTTACTGAATGAGCAAACTTTTAGTACAGGCTATTAGGAGTAAATTTCCCCAAAGTGTTCGGGCATCATAGTTCTAACTCATATGAAGCTCCAGATCTATTATTCAATGAACGTTATGATAGACGCAGTACAAATTATGTTTTTCCAGTAGAAGACACTGAACCAAATCACCTTTGATTTACTTGCCAACTTTTCAGTTGTACTATCATCAAGATCGTGATCGTGATCATCATCACTGATAACAAATCTTCACAAATTCATGAAATGTAAAGAACATGTTTACAGACAAACAACAGAAAATCAAGGATCAACCACTGGAGACGTGGAAATTACCGATCTCTCCTCAGGCTTAGTTTCTGGCTTTCTGCTGCTATTCCTAAAGCACTTTTGGCACTTAAAGATATCAGAAGCATTGATAATAACGTGACACCAAACAGATGTTATGTATAAAATGCAAACAACTGTAATTTATTGATAATATTTTATGTGTAAAATATTATCAAAAGTATCTCCTCAAAGAACCACGTAGAAAGGCATCCAATCAAATGTAAAAGACAAGGGGGTTGCTTTCTCTTTTCAGTCCGTTAAAGCTCTATCTAATTTAATTGGTTGCTTCCTGTCTACTATATCATAAATAATGTCAACATCTGCATGAAATTGCATAGCAAAGCTCTTTGACGTCGTGGCTCTTGTAACAACTATATATACACATCGATATTATCGGGGCTTCACTATTCCCTAAATTTCTCCATAGTCACTATCAGAACAAGGAGAAGAAGACTTACACTATGGAGGTCGGAGAACACAATCCAATTTTCCATCTACCTCCAGGTTTCAGGTTCCATCCTTCTGATGAAGAGCTCATCATCCATTACTTGCAAAAGAAAGTGACTTCAAAACCACTCCCAGCATCAGTAATCGCTGAAATAGACCTCTATAAGCATAATCCATGGGAGTTACCCAGTATGCTCATAATTACACATTTTACCTCCTCGTTTTCTTCCTAATATAATAATCAACTAACAACACCCTGATCTATACAGAGCAGGCTTTGTTTGGAGATGATGAATGGTTCTTTTTCAGTCCAAGGGACAGGAAGTACCCAAATGGAGCACGGCCTAATAGAGCTGCAGCTTCTGGTTATTGGAAGGCTACTGGCACTGACAAGCCCATTCTCACTTCTGGATCAAAGAGTATTGGAGTCAAGAAATCACTGGTCTTCTATATTGGCCGACCTCCAAAAGGAGCAAAGACAAACTGGATTATGAACGAGTATAGACTTCTTGACACGATGATTAAACCACCAAGGTTGAAAGAGTCCATGAGAGTAAGTAGGTATCACTGTGCTAAAAGTACAGTGGTTATTCTTTCCTGATACTTAAAAGTATTAGAAAAGCCTAATCTCTCACCAAAAAAAAAAAAAATATGTAAGTTTTTCCATTAGACTACACAGCCTGCTGCAGATCGAAACAAGGCAACCATGCAGCAACGTTCTTTTATTAGTTTGATTTTCTTAACAGATAGTCTCTAAACACCAACACTGTAGTTATTTCATTTTCTATTTATTCATATCTTAGTTATAAGATCATGTTTGAATCAATTCCAATTATGTCTTGAACTTCCCGGGAGAGAAATTTATAATTCACACTTTGGTTAGATAGGAGTAAGAAATCCATGTCCGGGCAATTCCTACTAGGAGTGAAATTGATTGAAACAAAAAAACTCTGATCCAATTCTTCATACTACGAATAGTTTAATAATAAAATAAGGAATAGGATAAAATTGAATAAATGTACCAAACACGATGCATGTGGTAACACAAACTTCTCATTTTAACCATTTAGTCTAGATTTAGTAAAAGTTTTGTTTTTGCATTTTTAACAATGGCTTACAAGGCAATCCTAATCAGCCCAAAAATTAAAGGACATGTAAGGTTTCACATTCTAGTATATTTTGATATTAAAGTGCAGGATATGTCTTTAGACTTCTCAACAAAAACAGGATATAGGTCATAGAGCTAGTGAACTGCTATATTGCATTAGGGTTGCACCCTGATGGTTGGCACTGGAGTTCTTAAGAAGGTAAATTAGGCAAGTTAGTGCATATAAAATGCCTTGAATTTTTTCCAATAACTTTAGCCTTCAAATTTTTTGTGTTATGTGAGTCATGTTTAGCATCTCATGTACATCTTTACTGAATCTGTTAAGAACAATGAAACAATTTGTCTTTTGTTATCACAGTTGGATGATTGGGTCCTCTGTCGAGTCCGAAAAAAAGACATGATAAAAAACATGTGCGAAGCTCGGGACAACAATAGCACAGAATCAGTGAGAGATTCACCAAGAAACAAGGAGTCTGACCCAAA